GATGACTCTGGTTTAGGTTTTAACAAGCCATATGGAAAAAACATTTGTATAGCTTCTTAGAGGGAGCCAAAAGCAGTTTCAAAATGCACTAATGCTCTCCTTCCTAACTTTTTCTTCTCTCTATATCAATAATAAAAACTCGATAAATTACTCCACTTGTCGACTAGACTGAGATAAGAGGAAGTTTTGTATGGCACGGTTAGCGATTCTTGTACCGGGTTTATCCGGTTTCTCTAGCATCTATATGAAGGAAAGCTTTGATGAAGAATCTCAGAAGAGTTCAGCAGCCATTTTGAACTTGTTCTGTTTCCACTTAGGCAATTCGTAGAAAGCTTCTTTCGACATCCCGAATTTCTCCTTGAACTCTTTTGCTGAAAGGTAAGTCTGCGTTCAAATACCAGTTTTAGATAAATGCTTCATTCTTCCATGAACATTTCTATTGTTGTTGTATTTATAGAATGTCCTTACCTCTCTCCTTGTTACATCAATGTCAGCAATGGGGTCCATCGAAGTTGTCTTGAGGCGTTCGTAAGGATATATCGGGAAGCTTTCCTCGTCCTCGACTCCTTCTTTAGTATCTTCATGAATCGTCAAAGATGCTATCTGGATGCTCATTGAGTTTTGCTTCTCTATTACATTGTCCTTTATGTTGGATTTTGGAAATGGAGACTTGGCTGTCTTCCGGCTCACTTCTCCTATTGCAAATAGTCAAAAAGCTCAGTACTGTCAGCAGAAAAATAGAGACCTTAACCAAGAAGGAAAAAGATCAAAACGATTACTCAATTAAAATGTTCTTTAGACGAAAATAAATTGAATTTACTCAGTGAAAATGTTTTCTAGGTTCATTTCAAAAAAGAAAATGTTTTCTAGACGAAAAGGATAGAAACTTTAGGATGAATACTCAATGAGAATCTTAATTAGACAAAAAGATAGAAATTTCAAGATGATAACTTAATGAAAATGTTAACTAGACGAAAAGCAACAAAACATTCAGATGATTTGATAAAAATATAAATGTTACCTAGCATTCATTACCTTTGATTGAACTTGGAATTAAAGGTTCTCGTGGCTGCGGCTTTACTTGTTCAAAAATAGCGCTGGGTAAAGCTATAGCTGAAGACTTAGGAGCCAACTTAGCGGCATCAGGAGGAGTAAGAGATCTTGGGTAAGTCTTTCTCATAAGTGAGGGAGGAGTTGAGAGATTTCTAGCACTCGGGTTTTCGAAAGCAGCAGCCAACGCATTAAACGCTGGAGATCGGCCTCTTACACGGACCCTTTCTGGACTAAAAGACATGCTTTTTGACCGCTGGTGCGATTTTTCAGGAACACTTGTACGTCCTCCATATGAAGCTGGGGATCTTCGTCTCGGCTTCTAACACAAAAAAAAAAAACAGGACAATAATGAAATATCAATCTTGAGCATTCTTGAATGTGAAGCTGACAATAGAGTCTTTACATTTACAACTGGAGTGCTCCCATTTTTGACAATTTTGAGTTTCCTTTCAAACGAGTTTCCATGCAACTACAACAACATCCTTTGTCAGGAGTTTCCTTTTTCGGTGAAAACTAAATTTATCGAAAGAAACATCTTCATATTGAGCAATATCTTGGTCGAAAACCGGATAATGTTAGTAAGAACTTACATAAGCTTTCGATGAATCCCACGAAGCGAAGAACCGAGTGAAGAAAAGCGGCTCATTACCTTCCATGATAACATATATTGGTGCCTCATTGGATAAGTTTTCCAAGAGAAAATCTTGTTCGATAAATTTCTACGCAAGAAAACATCAGCTAAATGTGAGGATCTAGTAAAAGATAATGCAAACTTGCGGTGTAGTTTAAGTAAAAATGCTTACCTCTCCAATGAATAAAGCTTGCAACTTGTTGTAAGGTTGAACTTCTTGACCAACCCACACAAAAATCTCTGAGTGGCAATCTATGACAAATATATCTTCAGTCATCAAATCATCTTGTGTGAAGTTATATATCTCCGTCACCTGCGGTTACGTTACACAGAACATATTGCAAATTTTTCAGTTGCACTTTCCATAAATTGTTACACAAGTGAGTGAAAATAAATATACATTACCTTCAGATTTCCTGATATGATTACCATTTCCAGCAATGATAAAC